AGGACAAGGTAATGAGCAAAGAGGATTCTGATGACTTGTGTAACCTCATGAGTGCTCTCCAAGTCAAGGCTCAAGAAACTCAGGTCGATGTGGCCAGGCACGCCATTGCATTGCAAGGATCATTCGCTGCTGATTTCGACAGGTACTCTAGGGAGGATGTGCTGCAGATGGGGGAGAATTGGATTGAAATTGAAGATGAGCCTGAAGTCATCAGTGCAACCATCGACGAGAAGATAGAAGAGCTGGAAACGACAACAACCGAAGCCGAACTGGCTGTCCTTGATGATGAGGAGCCTGAACCGATGGACGTTGACCCGGAACCTGCCGATGTGTTTGCCTCATTTGCCGAAGCTGAAGAGGCGCTCAATAAGCTGTCCGAAAGTGCCTCCAGCTTGGGTATCAACCAAGCTGCTACTGTGCATCTTGATAGGTTTGCCAGAGCCTTGAATATGGCCAGGGCGACAAGGGCTGGCAAACGCAAACGTGATGGCACTCTCCACTCGTTCTTTACTAGTGGTTAGTAGCAGTAACGCTCTATATTTAGACACACTGTTATATTTACTGGATTCCTGAATCCCCCCCTGTATATATATCTGAATGTTGACTGTACATGTATTGGTGGCTGCTGGCTGGTTGCTCCATTCATATTTTAATCCCGTATCGAGGGGTTTTCCACGGCCGGTACCGCCGTCGCAGCCCTGTAGAGGGTGGATCTTTCAGACGTGAGTCCAGCAGTGATCTTTTTCAACCCGTTGTTGTTGGGGAACCGAGCAACCGAGGATCATAACTTTTCAACCTGGCGATAATGAATCCTGTGATTGGCGACAAAGCGCTATTTGCTCTAGGCGGTGTTCGCCCGGACACCATGGCCGAGATTGACAAGATCCGTTGCCATGTTTCCTATGCGCTCGGGCAGCTCCAGGCAAAGACGACCCAAGACCAAGACGCTCGCAAGAAGCTCCTAGCCACCCTGGAGGCATACATCGCCAGGGGGGAATTTCCTCTCAACGAGAACGACGCTGCGCCCAACCAACGCCATCCCTGCTTTGTGGACAGTGCGGGTACTCCATGTGCTGTGGCACATCTAATGCAACAGAGCGGTGCGAAAGCCCTCGCTGACACGATTGCATCCTCTCACAAGTACGATTCGATTGCTCGAATGGTCGAGGATGAAGAGCTTTCGCCTCAAATCAACTCTTGGGCGTTCTCGAATGGTCTAAGTGTGCGGGATCTTTCTCTCATTCAGCCAACGTATGAGTTTGTTGCAAGAGAAGCTCGTGAACTGTTCAGTAAGGTGGAATCCAAGCTCCTTGAGGCATCCTCCTCCGCTACGTGCTTGGAGGAGGTCGAAAGAAACAAAGTGTCCAACCTCATGGTTCGGTTCGGAGACACAATGATTTCTGGATTCGGCTGGCCTGGACGCGATATCCCCGACTACCTCGAGAGGATTAAAAAGTTGGAAATCAGCGTTCCTGACGACAAGGCAGAGGTTCACGAACTCATCAAGTTGCTACGCCAAGAGGTGGAAGGTGCCAAAAGAGGAAACGGAAACAAGCGGACAACGGCAGCTGATTACGAAGGCTTTCTCTGTCCCGAGGACCTGGAGATTATGAAGGAGTCTAGAATTTCCAATCGCAGGGTGAGGCATAAGGAGTCATAATCATGTAGGGCTACCGACCAGCTCGCCCGCCCCACCTCTTTGTTTAGCAAAAATTGGAGAAGACCTATTTGAAATAGATTAATGAACTAAGCCACAGGCACACAGCCAGCGCATGCGTCAGCTTTGTAGCGTTGCGATCAATCAGCTAGGAGACTTGGAAATTCCGAAAAGGGAATCGACGAGCATTCGATCAGAGAAGAGGACACAAGACTTCAGGCCGTTGCATCACGCTATGCAATGATCGTACAAATAACAGCTGAGGCCGGTACCAGACAGGGACGATGAAGAGAAGTCTAGATTTTGAATGATGCACCTTCGTACTTGCTAGGTTTCCTTCCCTCGCGACCAGTTGTGGTGCATCACTATTGCCCAGAGACAAACCCCACACTCTAACTATGATTCTCCATCAAATAAAGCTGGGAAAGCTTGTTGCAGTCTGCCCACATGCTCGGTATTGCGGAGCAATACACCAGGGGATGGCACACCATGCACTGTCGAAGCAATCATGAGCGATGACTTTTCCACTTTGGCAATTGGATTGATGTTGTCTTCAATGACAGCCCCCATCACATCGTTCTCAAAACAGTGCGTAACGGCCACAATGACGTGGAGCTCGGAATAGGACAGTGGCAACGATCCGCTCCGTGTCAGAGCATCCAGAAGGTCAAACGCCTTGTCCTTTTCGGATTTGATTTCGTCCGGATACATGGATTGTAGTTCTCCAACTTTAACCAGCAAGTTTTCCTGACGTTTTCGCTGCCACGCATCGGAAGCTTTGATGATGGTCGCTCGTAATGAATTGTCCTTGTCGTGGACCTCAAACTTGGCATCCAATTGCTTGGGGATTTTGGTAAAGTCCAACGTGCCTTCCTCGTCGTCGCTTGCTTCGGCATTTCCGTCCTGGGGAGACAGTAATGGTTGTTGTGGTTGTGTCGACGGTGACTTGAGGGCAGCACCTGAAGGACCGCCGGGTCCAGAAGGACCATCAAAATTTGGGCCTGGTGGTAGCTCGTCCGCGGCACTGTTGCTGACTGTACTGTGCATGCTTGAGCCACTTACAGCCATGGCTCCTGGCGGGGCAAGACCCATAGTCCTAGGCCCAGCTCCTCGTTGCTTTGCCAAAAGGTCTTGCTCCATCTGGCTCAAGCCTCCACCGCCACTGGCTGTGCATCCCGGCATGCTGGACGCATCAAAGGGGGCGGACACGCTATACGCCCCAACGAAAGAATGTGCCTCACAATGTTGACTTGCCAGAGCCGCTGGGCTGGAATACACGGATCGCGCGTCTTTCTTGAGCTTCTTTTTGTTGTAGACAACGGGTTCCATAATGGTGGTGGGGATGGAACTTGCCAAACTGGCTTCTTCCGACACTGCCGACAATGCTTCGTCAAACAACACGGAAGGATTCCCTTGTGCGTATTGTTCCAGCGCCATGTGCGCCTTTTGTTTCTCCAATGCCAATTGCTTGTCCTTTTCTCCCTGCACGACATTGAGCACCGATTTGGTGTATTGTTGTACGAGCGCAATCTTTTTGGATCGATCCGGTTCTTCCGGCGGTCCATCGTACGACAACAAATCGGACGGGATTTGGTATTCGATAAAGAGCGACAGTAAATCCTGGGTCAATTGCATTTCCTTGGTGAGTGATCCCGGTGGCAATCCCAACAAATCTTCGAGTTGCGGTTTGAGTTGTATCACGGCCACACCAAAGACACTCGATTCCAATTGCATTTCGCGAAATGCCTTGGCAAATTGTTGTTGTTCCGGCGACAAGGAGGAAATGGCATCTTGGAATTCTTTTGCGGTGGGCAATTCTTCCAGGAGCAGAGGTATCAGTACTTCGTCCTTGTTTTGCAAGAGTATGGCGGATTGTGGTGAAAACTTGTTGGGCCCGGCAATGGTACCAACAATGACCATGAAACAGGAGAATTGTCGTGCTCGTGCTGCCAATTGATAACATTTATTGCTGTTGTTGCCGGGAGTTCCATTGTTTTGGAATCGATGTTGCATCCATCCGTGCAAAAAACAGTCGCCATTGAGAGACACGGTAGTGGCCGCCGTGAGTGGAACTTGCATGGGGCATGTGGGAGTAATACGCCGACAAAAGGTATCAATGGGTTGTTGTTGATCGCTATTGTTGTTGTTGTACTCAATACTGAGAATACCATCGGGGTAATATCCCGGTCGTCGAATGGCCACACAAAAGGGAGTGGGAGCATATTGGGGCGCGTACAACTTGTGCTGATAATAAAACTTCATAAAATCATCAAAATCGGGTGCGTGCACGTGTTTTCCAATGGCAAAAATCAATTGTTGTTGGAGCATATGCTCCATGTAACGCATACAATCTTCGTATTGAAATGCCAATTGTTCCAAATGGGACGCCAAGAGTACGAGTGTGGCTTCGGCCGTGGAAATGAGATGTTCTCCATTTCCTTTGGGAAGAAATGTGTTGGCCAATCCGAGAATGGCTTCTTGGACGGTCCGCAATTGTTCTCCGAGAAATTTTTCCATGTCCGTCAAGGACAAGAGGGGTGTATTGGTGGTATCGTTGTTGTTGGTGTCATTCGTAGTCGTGAGTGTTACAAGGGAAGAACTCTTGACGGGTGGGTGGCTGCTGCGACGAGGAATCGCAGTGCTGTTGTTTGCGTTATTTTTGGACTCCATGAGTGGCAAAATGGGATTGTATAGATTGCGGGTATGAATGGAAGTCAATTTACTATTGGCAGCAGTTCTGTCAGTTGTTGAGTCATTGACGGGAGAATGTCTCGACAGAATTTCGCGTTCGACCTTGATGAGTAGAAATTGTCGTAATTTTTGTGCAAAATGGCAAATATCTTGGAATGCTTCTACGGCTTGATCCACGTGTGGATTGCGACGGGGTGTTTTGCAGACGTGTGGATCATTGCGATCAATTCGGAATTGTGCTGTTTGTTGTTGTGGTACATGTTGTTGTTTGTGAATCATGATTTGCGAGAGCAACCAGGTCAAATCGACATCAATGGGTGGATGTTTAAAAACGTTCAAAAAGGGAACTTTTTCGGTGCCTTTAATGACGAGAATGGTAGAAGCATCCCGACTTTGCCAAGTGACCAATCCGGCTCCATCGTCGGGACTGGCGCCGGCAAAGGCAATCAGTTTGTAGTTGATTCTTACTTTCCAATGGTACTCTTTGATCATGGTCGTCACTTTGCTTTTCGTACTCGATTTCTCGGAGGACGATTTGCCAAAAAAGCGACCACTCGATTGTTTTTCCACTTCTATTACAGTGGAAGTAGAACCAGCGACAAAGGGGACTTCTCGCTCTTGCATGAATTTACACGTTTGAATGGCTTCAAAGCGCAGCGTGACGCTCTTGTTGGCGTTCTTCCACTCGTTCATGGTCGACAAGTGATCGCTCGTCATGCCCAATAATTCAAAGACATTCACGGTAGCCACCAGTGCCGTGTTGGTCATCCATGCGGCCAGCGCGTACTTGTCCTCGTACGAATGGTCTTGACCATTATTATTGCCGGCCAATCGAGGATTCCGGGTCGTATCCAAAATCCGCTTGACCGAAATCAACGCATTGTCCACTTGACTTTGGAACCGACTCTCCTGGAACGACGTGTATTTCATCGTTGTCTTCTTATACAATACTACTACTACCGAACGGTAATACTACGTACTCAATGCTGTTGCTATGGTTGAGTTGAGTCGAGCAAGGGGATGTCTTCGAATAGAAGGATCCAATGATCCGATGAGTGAGTGTGTTGCTCGTTGCTGTGTTGCTGTTTTGGCTGGGACTTAGAAGAAAAGATTTCAGACGTTTCGATTGAATCGAATCATTCGATTGATCATTCTACACTAGTTGAGGTAAATAAATAGCTTACCTTGAAATGGTATACCACATCTACCTTGCTTGAACAGTACTTTAGCCAGTGAACCGGAGAATACACACCCAAAAGGGGACAGCGGGAGGATCACCACGCCTTCTCAAGAAAAAGATTGACTGCCGGTGGAACCATTCCCACTAATCTATCTTGGATGCACAGATTATGAGGGAGCAAAGACGCTTTTTGGTGGCTTTAACAATGTTGCTCAACATGTAGGCATTGCCCCCTTTCGCCTCTACTGCAGCCACATGGCACCAAACAGTAAGTACTGCTTGGCCTTTTCTGAAGAAGGCATCCCCCTTGGTCTACAACTCTGGAAAGACTTGTACGACAATGCAGTCAATCAACCAAGTTTGGCAATGAGCGCAGTTTTCCTGTCAGGGATTTTCCTTGCTGCTGCTCTGGCGTGGGCAGTGGAATGCATCCTGATAAGTCTGCCCCTGGTCGTGGTTGTTGGCGTCACTGTCATGTGCTTTTGGAAACGAGGAATTCGGAGGAAGTAAAGGAGTTGAATCAAATCCTCTAGAGGTACAACTAAGAAGAACAGCATACATAGAGAAAAAGGACTGCTTCAAGTACGAGTACCAACGCCGCAAGCTAACCAGATAGATTTGGGACAAGAAGGCATGTGCGTTTCAGCTTGACCGCATAGTACTGTAGGTTGAAGAGGACGAGTTATGATCCGATCTATAGCTAGCTGGCTCCATCAGCACGATCGAATAAGTATCACAGTGTAGACTATCGCTCTGCCTTGGCTAGGGATATCATAGAATAGTGGAGGGTTTACGCATGCTGCAATTGTCATGACACTGGAGGTCTGTACCCTTGTCTACATGTATTGTGAGAAACCACAAACAAGCAAAAACCTGGGTACATTCGTCCAAATCGCGCCAAAAACTCTATTTATCTGTAATGCCGGCTGTTTTCATTGGATGTCTGTGCGGTATCCACATTCTGATCCATTTGTGAAAGGTTGGTCTTTATTATTAAATCCCTGCCCCCGACTGAGTGTCCTGCAATCCTTGAAGCTGCAGTGAAGATGCTATCCAGTGGCTCCGCCCAAAGCGATCGAGCTCTTTCTTCTACAGTGGCTGCACGGCTGCCCACGTGAGACCACGAGCACATGCACCCTTCTACTAGTAGCCATTTATCCGGTTATCAAGCGATCAGCTCTCCTCATTCTTCTTGCGGCCCTGTACAGGTATGATGACAACAACAACAACCAAGAAAGTAGAAGGATGCAAGGGCTCCGAAAATCTGGACGACGAGAGCGTTGCGAGCCAAGGCGTCGGAACAATCGGAGACAACGGCAACGACCGCCCAATCGACAATGTTGTTAACAGCGCCCTCAATAGAAAGGACGTGGCACCTGCCCCTTATTCCTTGACAGGTCCTATCCCGTCGCGACTTCAGAACGATAGAGTGTCAAAGGACGAAGAGTTTGCCGACAATGCCGAGAGCTCTGTTGTAGATTCAAAACACATCAAAAGAGAAGCAGGAATGATGGGCTCAAAATTCATTGATACAGAAGTGGGGGTGATACAGAAAATGAATAGCTTGCCTTCAGGTGGACAGAACAAAGAAGCAGCTCCTGCAGAAATTAATTTTTCTTTGCAGCCACTACCGATACCTCAGGCTGCGCGGCCTGGTGCCTACGATGTTAGAGGGCCAACTAGGGATGGACCGCCCCCAACAACATCAGAACAAGGAAATGAGGAATCCTTGCAACAAGATACAATGCTGTCCAACACACCATGGGACATTACTGGAGCAGTCCAATTTACTGGTATGAATGAAAGCTACACTGATGTGGAAGCAGGCGGGGGTCTGGCCTGGGCCAAGCCAGTCCAAAGTGAGCATTTTAATGCTGGGGATTTACCCCAAGCAGAGATGGTTGACCATGGAGAATTGGAGAAGCAAGAGTCTAAGAAGCTGCAGCACAAACAGGAATGGAATCAAAAAGTCATGGGCTTTGCCATTTTTGCATTGGCTTGCTTGGCCCTTGGAATCATACTTGGACTTGTTTTCGGAAAAAGTGAAGAAGATCGCATTATAGTTTCACCAACTGTTGCTCCATCAATACCGCCAACAGGCACTCCATCTAGTGCCCCAACAGGAGCACTCGATGCACTGCTACAAGATCTTCCAGATTCAACCATTCAGAAATTGGATGACATTTCAACTCCCCAGTGGCAAGCCATGCATTGGCTCTCAGTACATCCTGAGTTGCCAGACATGCCAGGATGGAGACAGATTCAACTTTTTGCCTTGGCGACCTTCTTCTATGCATTTGAGGGTCCCAACTGGCGTGAAGTGATTCGAAACAGGTGGATGCTCTATGACACATCAGAGTGCTACTGGTTCTCCAGTGCCTATGGAAAATTTAGTGATGATGGACCAAACTACGATGCAGAATTACAAAATGATGTAGACCCTTGCAACGACCAAGGCAGAATCCAAACTCTCATCCTTGATGATTTGGAGCTCTCTGGCTTCCAACCATACATTCCGCTGGAAATTGAACTGTTGCCGTCATTGTCATATCTTGCGCTGCGCCGAAATGGAATCAATGCTACCTTGGCCAACTGGGTTCCTCCACCCATCTACCAAATGCCAAATCTTACTTTTCTTGCTCTCAACAACAATGAAATGATGAGTGGACAAGTTCCAAGTGAGTTGGCCATGCTGACAACTTTGCAGGAACTCCTACTGGATGACTGCTCTCTGTCTGGAACTCTCCCCGCTGTGTTGGGGTCTCTAACAAACCTCACCACAATCAGGTTTCAGAGAAACAAGAACATCAAAGGACCCATCCCCAGTGAGTATGGAATGATGAATAGTCTTACAGACTTGAGCATCAACCAGAACAAATTATCAGGATCCCTGCCAAGTGAACTGTTCCAGATGTCAAGTTTGACAGAGCTTACTCTTGTAAAAAATAAGTTCACTGGAACCATTCCGGTTGAGCTGAGTTTGCTGACCGGATTAACTGATCTGAGGATACAGAAGAATAAGTTCTCGGGTGCCATTCCCAGTGAAGTTGGGATCCTGACTAGGCTTTCCAGGCTAAACCTTGGTGACAACAATCTTCAAGGAACCATTCCAACAGAGATTGGAATGCTCTCAAACACGGAAGACATCTTTCTCGCTGCAGCATCCCTCGCTGGCCCAATTCCCTCTGAATGTGGATTGCTGGTGAATACTATGCGCTTCTATGTACAAGACAACCAACTTTCATTTATTCCAATAGACTTCTGGCAGATGACAAACATGCTGAAGCTGAAGCTACAAAATAATTTGTTCAGTGGACCCTTGCCAACTGAGATTGGAGACTTCAGGAGGATCGAAGATGTGGAAGCCTATGACAACTTTTTCTCAGGGGCTCTGCCGAGCGAACTGGCTCTTCTTACCAGCATGACTGCATTGCGGCTACATGGAAATCAACTTTCTGGATCTATCCCTAGTGAGCTGTCTAAGTTGGCATCAAATGGTTCACTGGAACTTTTGACTCTGAGTGGAAATCCTCTCTCAGGGGTTGTGCCAGAAGAGCTGTGTGCTTTGGGTCAATACAACACTACCACAAAAGATCCCTTTGGCCTTGACTTTGACTGTGGTGGCCTCCTTTGTGGCTGTCACTGGTGCAAATGTAGTCTTTAGGAAATATTGAACTCAAGATACATGGATACATATTCATTGATACATTTTTAAACATTCGAATCACGGCAACCACAAAAGAGGAGTGCTTGTTGAAAACGCCATGTCAAAATAGACTGTACAGCAGGGAATTCGGGATCCTATAATGTAGACACCTTTGGTGGTACAGCTAGCAGGGATTCATCTTGCCACTGCCACATACATCTCTTCTTGATTGAACCATTCAAGTTTCAATGCTGCTTGTTCGAGTTCGTTTTTTGCTGTGGAGGGCGGGCGAGGATGTCCCCACGATGCAACAGTGGCCTCGACGAGTTAGCGGTCCCGGGTATCCCGTTGGCTTTCGGACATTCCAAATGCCGTCTTCGACCCATTCTCTGGCAGCCGGTACATACAACATGATAACTATACTGTGCATGCTATAAAATAAATGGTACAGTTTTGAACACAATCACAAACTCGAGATGTCTCATCATACGCTCGAGCAGGGTCAGAGACTAGCACGTACTAGAACACGATCATTGTGGCGACAGAGAAATGTGCGTGGCCAACGAGGGCTCGCTACGCCACACCACTACCTTTCGTCCAGGAGCGTCCCGTAGCTACTTCGCGTCATGTACAAGAGCGCCACACAGGCAAACATGGATATCAGGCAAAGCCCGGAAATGATGGCATGGGTGATGCGAAAGCATTCTTCTCCAAAGCAGGTTGTTTCATCGCCCTCGATATGTTGTTCGTAGACAAACTGCGTCAGGAATTTGGCAATGGAAAGAGTCCCTACGGCACAGGTGAATCCATCGGCAAACATGTAGTTGGCTCCGTGATTGACCGTGCCAAATAAATCACCCACGACCAGGACCATGAGTGGCCACAGCATGCCAAAGGAAATGCCCTAAACATCACACACAGCAGTGAGTTGCTGCTGCTTTATCAAAAACAAAGAGCCACGTTGTTACTACTCACCGTCAATACAATCCCCAAGACAAACAATAGTAGATTGGAGGACGTCGTCATGGCCATTATGGCATGTCCCGCGACGGCAAAGGCACAACTGAGTACCAAAAATGCCGGTCGAGGCACTCCTCGACGAATGCCAAAGAGTGTCGTCTTCCATTGCAGTGCCGCTTCACTGACGGCTCCGGCTGTGACGCGCGCCAATGCCTGCGACACACTAAACATGGCCAAACAGGCGGCTGCCGTTTGTTGTGGATTCGTTTGGTCGTCCTCCGCCGAAAGGGATGATTGTACCAGTTGTCCCATGTTAATGGTCAACATGGTGCCCGCCCCGACCAACATGGTGCTGGCTCCCAAAAAGAGCCATGCGGGAAGTGTTTGCAACATTTCCGGCAAGGTGCGATCGGGAATGGGTTGGGGTGTTTCCAAAAACTCGTCGTCGTCATCATCATCCCGCCAACTCATTTGTTTGTCATCATTGTCGGGACGCCAACTAACTTGCTTGTCGTCACTAGTAGTGGGAAGACCAATATTTGTTTCTCCATCATCGTTATCACCATCATGATAGACCATCTTGTTTGCTTGGCTATTATTATTGGAAGGAGGAAGGAGCATCATGCGTTCTCCCTTATTCTGGGCAAGAGTGCCAGCACTGGTATCTCGTTCCATGGCGGATCGCACCCGACGTCGAATGGACGATTGCGATCGTTGAAACTGTTTGCGATGGGACTCTTGTAGTGCGGTTGATGTGGGTACCAGAAACAAGCCCAGAACGGGTCCAATCCAAAAACTCAAAATGACCACTCCATGGAGCCAATCTGGAATTTGAAAGCCTTTCGTAGTACTGGAATTGGATTGATGTGAAAACAATGTCAAGGCACTACTTCCCACCACCACCATGGACAGTGCGAGTAGTCCGACGTAAATGACATGATAATGTTGATTGGTGGAATCATCCTTGGTTCCCTTTTTGTCGAGTAGTTGTTGTGTGGGCAATGCAAGTGCGGCAGGAAGGACAATGGCGACAATGGCACAGACGGAACTCATGGCCAAGAAATCGAGATCGGACGATGTCTTGATGGCGTGAAAGAGGGAGGAAAAGACTCCAGCTCCCAGTCCCAAATATGCCTTGGCGGCTCCAACGGCATTTCCCTTGGTACCCAATTCACAGCTCGTGACAATGGATTTGAAAACACCACCAATGACCATATTGTTGCTGGTAAAAATGAGAATGGACAAACCACACAAAATGGGAATGATACTCGTCATGCCCGTCGCTTCCAGTATGACGTCGTTACCCCATTTGGCTGCCATCCAATAACACGCCAATCCAAAACTCTGCATGGCACCTCCCCACAACAACGCTTGCCGAGGACCCCACGCATCGACCAGCAATCCCGGAATCCACGAAATCAAACCGGCGGCAAAGGATGCCGCTCCGAGGGTATCCAATTCCGATTGCGTCAAGGAAAATGTCGCTTTCAACGTCTCGGCGTAGACACCAAAACTGTAGGTTGGACCACCCGTGGCCAGAATGGCCAAAAAGGCCGTCACCAAAATGCCAATATTCGAAATGCCATTGCTGTTCTTATTAGTGGTGTTGGTGGGCAAAGCACCTGCATGATAGGGAGAGTAATACGGAGATGCTGGACTCTTAATCACAACCATGGTTCATCTAGCTAGCTAGTAAGCACTGGCAGAGATTGTGCCAATGGTGGCACAGCTTCGCTTTTGTTCTGGAAGATGGAACCAAGTGCGAAGTGCAAGTGGGAAGGAGATTAAACCCACAAAGCTGAAAGAACATGATACTTCACAAATGCATGTCCGGTACCTGCAACATGTTCGATCTACCTGCAACATGTTCGATCTACCTGTGACATGTTCGATCTACCCGCAACATGTTCGATCTCCCTTGTCATTGCTCCGCGAAGAGGAAAAGCGGGTTTAGAGTAGCGAGGTTATCTACCTTACAGAAGCTGGAGGATACCCCCGAATTAATCCACAAAGCCCTTGGCGTAGGTACCAGCCCTTCGTAGTAGAATCAATCGACAAAGCAGAAACAACACTTGGTGTACTTCTAACTAATAACGTAGTGCTATCGCAAAGCAAGACAAAGCAAATTACGAAACGACCAACGTGATCATTCATAGTCAGTAGTTTTTGTTTTGTTGTGCTTTCAAAAAAGAAGCCACACATTTACGTGGAAGATAACGAGGAGGAGGATACGCTCGCTCCTATAAGAATTGGCTAGCTTGTACAGTACCAGTACCGTAGAGGATAATAGTGCAGAGGATAAGACATGGCATTTTGATACCCACGCTGCATGATTTTAGTTGCATGCCTTCACATCACCCAATAATCCTTTTTTCTCTTCTTGCATCCTTGATCTGCTTCTCCAATGTGCCTCATTGGTTTCTCTCAATAGACAATCATACCATATATGCGGCACAATATATAATTGGAGCTCAAACTTACCCATGGAGTGTAGCACTAGAGGACATCTATAGATTGCCCATGCAGAGCATCTGGACATCCTCAATTGTGGCACTTCCATTGGAACATGATACAGCTGGAACAAGACTAGCCAAGTCACCAACAAGATGGGTTCGCAAATCAGAAACTGCTACAACGGAGTCTTGATCATTGACTGAGATTGATAGAGTCCCATTTCCTGGAGCTCCGGATGATAAATCAAGGGTCATGGTGACACATGATCCATCTCCAAACTTGGCCGCTTCTCCTAGAGGTCTACAAACAGATTTTTTGTTGGAATATTCATATCCATTGTGTCCATAGACACCCCAACAATGTGCTTGACGCCCGCAGAACTTGTCTGGTTTGAAAGAGTGTGTAGATTTAGTCACACCTAGCCAAAAGTCATCTAGCCAGAAGCCACTGTTGGAGTTTGTGGTGACAGTCCATCGATACTTTCCCCCCAATGCAAAAGCAGCCCCATTGAAGATGTCACTCTTCCGAACATTGCGAGCTGAAGTAGTGAGAGCCTTAGATTGGGCAAATTTCCACTCAACATTATGATAAAGAGGCTTGTGTACAGCAATTTTGTGGTGATGCTTTGCTTTCTTTGCTTGTTTCTTGTAGGCATCCAACAGTTGGCCTGTTGTCACCAAACTGGATGTCTCAACAAGACTTGCCAAGTCATCGGGATCAATACATTCAAGATCCACATAGTTTTGAACCAAGGCTGTGGCTGAGTTTTGGCGGTCTGCATTGACTGGCTCACAGGTGGACCATGTGTGGATCAGTTCGAAGAGCTTCATATTGTCGAGCTTGGCCTTGGCATCCTGAAGGATGGCTCCCAGCACAGTGGCAGAAATGCGCCCTAGAACAGCATTGTGAAATTCCCCAGATACTCCACAGAACATGCTCCAAGCCCGACTGACCAATTCCTCGGACACAACAGGTCCCGCTTGCTTGGACGCTGCCAAAATAGCAATGGCTATCAAAGGTTCCATCTTCATGAAGAATGTCAGGCATTTCTGAGCCTTTTGGCAGAGACCTGTCAATCCAACGTACATAGCTGCTTCAGTCAATGACACCAAGGCCTGGAATTCCTCCATGCAATCATTGGAAATTTCCAAAGAGGCTCCAGTGGCGTCTTTGGAAGAGATTCCGGTGGCGTCTTCTGAATATTTGGCCAAAAGAATGCCAGCGTCGGTATGGATATACTCCACAACTGCCTCAAGAACATCACTGGAGAATCCAATGGATACTACTGCATCAGTGGATTCCTTGAATTGACCATCCTTTTTGAACAGGGTCTTAAAGTATTCGCTACGGACAGAAAGGGCTATTCGATTGGCAGGAACCATCCTCCATCTGTGCCTTTTAGAGATACATCATGATAGTCTTCATCTGCCAATCGGGCAAAGGCTTGGGCGAGAGGCACCTCAGTGGACTCAACTTTGGCAGACATGGTTGGTGACAGATCAGAAAAGACCATGAAGAGGAGGGCGTTGGTGTGTTGGGATGGTGTTTTGACGTTTTGACGTTTTGACGCAGTCCCTTTGAGTTTTGAGGAGAAAGTAGACTACATCTAGCTAGTTGCGAAGCAAGATTAAACCCACAAAGCTGCAAGAATACATGGTCAAAAATACCTCGATGAATCTTCACTGCGTGTGGAGTCGAGTCCATGGTCAAAAAGATGTTCATGAAGTGCAACAACTACCTGTAGCTAGACTATTGCCGTACCGGTGTGCACTGGTTGCATCATCACAAAGCTACCTGGTAAGCAACCTACGAAACCTACGAAACCATCAATGTGGTCATCCATATCAGTCCTTTGGTTGGTTTTTAAAACCTAAATCGGCACAACCAAATCTACTGTACCGGTACCGGTAGCTCCGGGAGTCATGCTAGACAGCGCGACTTATCGGAGCCCAAAATATCATATATTCTATTTACTTGTCTTTCTTGATTTCATCACTACTACTATTGCTCACGGGAGGGACCCGGTCCATCTCCAGAGATGCCAGAGCCATACAGCAGGCTGCCCCAGGTCCAAAAAAGGGTGTCAACAGCAGCACTTCGGCCACACTGCTCAGCTTGCGGGAGGCAATGTGCAATACCAACCCCACCCACAACACGGACGCATCAATTGACATGAATTGGATCGATGGGTGCGCATCGGTCCACAAGTCCTTCCAGAGGGCTTCGTAATCCATTCCGTAGTTTATAAGGACCGTGTAAATCATGTAAAACCATCCCAGTAGTGCCAAGATTCCACCCATACCAAAGGACACGCCCGCGGCTTCCGCACTAGCGGCGACATCTTTCTGTGTGGGAGTTGCAGGAGGTCCGAGTATCCAGGCAATCAATCCAGTCAGACAAATCAATGGTCCTGCCAATGTCCCCGCTACTAACGTCCATTCGTCTGAATCCACCGGCAAGACAAATGCCGCCACGGAAAGCAGAGTAAAAGGGAGACACCAGAACACCAGACTCCGTGCCAAGGAAAGATTGACAACTCCACTCTCATTGGCAAAGAAACAGTAGCTCGGTACCCAAAGGAGGGGAAATACCACTGAAATGCCCAAAAATTGTGCAATCAAACTGAACGTGGTGGGCCACAACAAGAGGGCTCGATTGCCACTCCGTCCGGCCTCCAACAAGATCAACATCATGGCTGGAATGGCACTGATTATTGTCGTTCCCCACGTGAGCATTCCAGCCGGACTGCGCTCCACCAAAAACACAAAGAATTGGGTAATCATGCAGACAAAGACATCCAGCACCCCCATGCCTGCCAGTTTGTCGTAGCGGTGATAACCCGTTTGTGCCACAAAATCTTCCATGGTAGCATAGTCTTTGGCATTGCCGCAAGCTGCCAAGATGGGTTCAAATGTGTCCTTGGTCACGGCCTGAGTAACCACAAAGGCCCCCGCTCCCGCGATAATGGACAAAATGGCGATGGGAGTGGACAGTGTCGACCTGGCCATGGTTGGGTATTGTCGTGTTTGGTGTGATTTGTGTGTTTGGTGTAATTATCAGATTCTGTGATGATGTACCTTGCTAGGCTGCTATCCTCTCTAAAAGGTGCCTTTCTTCTGTTCTTGGTTGTTCTTGTCTGCCGGTATGCTGAATGCTTGCTTCTTAGCTTGGCTCTTTGCTTCCCTCAACAACAATCGTTGCATCTTTGATCTTTTACCATCTCCCGTCGCCGAAATGCAAGAGTGAGTGAGTGAGTGAGTGAGTGCCACGTCATCAACCGCTTTAAACCTTTGAGAAGTTCCTTTAATCTGCGTCTACTTATGGGTTTATGGTTTAGACACTTGTCTATTTTAAAAATACCCACTGGCACGGACTCGGAACCGTGGTACCGTACGGTACCGGTACACCGGTACCAGTACCGTACCCTACCCTACCCCACCCCACCCGTACCCTACCGTACCGTACCTTCGTCCTCCTTCAATAGCTCTTCAATTAACCAAGCTACTGTCAAGCTACCGTATGGTACAGCACAGTTGCAACAAAGCTCAACACTGAACGAATAATGGTGAAGAGGCTTGATGACATTTGCCTCCTTCGGCGGATGGTTGCAATAGCTACGACTAGCTAGCTAGCTAGATCCATATCGTTGCCACCAGCCATGCGCAGACCGCCGGTATGGCTTTCAGTTGCTACGAGTGGCAATGCGAAGTCCCAAGGCTGAAACATGAAACCGTGCGTACCGTACCTACCAACTAGCTAGCAAAGAGTATGCATTTGGCTGCTTGTAATTTCCAACGGGGAACAATTAGGCATTATGAAGCAAGTTGCGCTGCTGGTATCTATAGCGCACCTCCACTATTCGTAGTTACAGTTTTTGTCAGATCCAGCTAGTAGGAGACTCTCAACCATTTGTTCATTCCGCTGCATTCGAGGCCTGCTGCAATTGGCACCTGGCATCCCTCGATTGCAGTATCCGATTGCGTATTTTCAGTAGTCGTGGCGGCAGCAAATAGTAACCACAAGAGCCTTCCTCGGTTGAGGATTGTGCAATGATCTGCAGAGAGGCGGCCAAAGTGGGATGCTCCTCTGCTTGCTCCTGGGTACACGAGAGCAGGGAAGATTGGCTCAAATCCTCTTCGGTTTCGTCGTCGTCGTATTGATTGTATGGACTCGGAGGCTTGGGTATTCCATGTTGGAGTCTCCAGGTTTCAATTTCATGCCGGAGCTCTTCCTCTTCTTTAAGGTCTTGGGGATACAGAGGTTTCCGTGTCAGCGGGTGAGTTCCACCATTCAAGTCATTGCCAAAGTAGAGCCACTCAAGGATGGCCCAACGCTCAAAGCAGCGGCCACCGGGTGCCCTAACGGGATGGACCATGACTTCCAGGGTGATGGGACAAACAAATCGTGAGGGTGGGATCACCTTTCTCTGAAGGTCCTCCATTGCATCCACCATGGGCATGTTGGAATGCAAATGCTAGCAATTTGAACAAGAGATGCTAACTTTGGAAAGAATGCAGGCACCAAGATTTATGTCAGCTTCTCGGTTTTCCCATTGATCAAGCGCAAAACGCTACCACCAATCACTCACCTATCTTTTCTGAAATGACCTCGCTTTAAATTTATTTGTGAAACAAGGAAACTAGACTAGCTGGAAAAGGAAGGAAAGTGCCGAACGATCAATCAAGTCCTTCCCTTGGTCAGGTAAGTACTAGCTAGCTAGTAGTACTGCTACAGTATGGTACTACTGTTTTTAATAGAGTAGAAACTGGGACTTTTCGGACAAGGAAAGCACCTTGTTTTTACCCTGATTGGGCATCTGGGAACCGTCGCCGTTAAGTCACTAAACGTCGGTGGGTTTCAACATTAGAAATAATTGACATAAGTAACTGTTGTTGAAGCTCTTGTTGAAAGTTGAAAGGTGATGATCAATTATTGAGCTTTGAGCTCCGCATCTCCGCATTCCTGCGTTCTTCCGCTGCAGGCGGTACTGGTCAGTCGAAGAACCTTGAGGCTGACAAAATTGTAGTAAGGTCCTTTCACTTGCAGTACTAGTATGCATCGCATGCCGGTACCAGTACGTGTATGAGCTGCACATGTGCAAGCACGTCTTGAATTGTTGCGGCGGGCTGTTGAAAAAGCTGAAGTTATGAAGTTATGTGGACTTGTATTGCGGTGATTCTCATTGGAAACAAGTACTCGAGCACTGAGTATGGAATTCTGGAATTCAGCGCTGCTATCATCTGATACTGACTTATTCCATTAAAGCATATAGAGGCCGGATGCTTGAATTCTCGTTCTGTCAAGGCGGTCTAAAGGCTGGCACTACCGGTACCGTACCCTGACTCCTGAGCAAAGGATAACAGTGGCGGGGACATGGCGAGAATAGCAAGATACTTCAAGGTCTACAATTTGGAATTGGGAACTACTCGAGTGTTCTTTAGCTGCCTATAGCTCAGTCTTAATGGATGTTTCTTTCGGCAGACTCTATGGGGTGACGCAAATAGCGTCCTCCCGAATTGCAGAAGTTGCTGCTGATTGCGGAGCTCTGAGCAATTTCACTTGAAACTATAATTGCACGTTCTTGCATGCGCCAAAGTTCGCAATTGCTTGACGGCGGCTACGGTACGGCTGAGCTACTCTGGAAAGCGATGCAAGGTCTTTTTAGGTCTCCGCGACCCAGTTGTTGAGAGATCCATAAGCAAATTAAACGCTTCTTCATCGTCGACACGGTAGTGGCCAAACAGAAACTTGGGATCACCGTGTCCCCTCTCAAGACGAGTCTCGATCCAAATAGCCAAGGCAATCAGGACGCAAAAGTCAGGGTCGGCGGCACCCAGCATGATCTGGTTGGGGCAATCACGCTCCTCCTGGACGTTCTTGCTCCATGAGACCTTGGTTTCGAGAGCGAAGCCTGGAAACTTGGAGTGGCTGTGCAGATCCAATGTCTCCATGTTGGTCAAATCATCAGTGCGGCCAATCAAGTGAAACTGAACCTTCAACATGGTTGGGATCTTGATCGTCGTGTCAATGTTCGCTCCTCCATCGCGTTCCACAATGCGAATGGTCTTGCGGAATTCCCGGATCTTGAGATCCCTCTTGACATTGGATTTCCTGCCCTGCTTCCTGACCTCAGCCTTCTTCACAGCTTTGATCACTTCATTGACAACCCTGGATCGAGTTGGATTCCCAACATTGGGACCAACAGCCCATGATGCGTGGCGGTTCGGATGGAAGTAGCTGATGGCCTTCTTGTACTGGTCAAGAGTGGAAGATCTCTTGTGGGTGGGGCGGTCATTGGGCCCTGGGTTGATCTTTCCATAGGCAAGGAAGTTCAGGAACTGGGCGACATCAGTGGGTGTAATGGCTAGGAACTCGTCCTGAAAAAAAGTAATGAAAAGCGACCATGGTGTGAGCGACGATGTTTGATCAGCGAAATGACAGATTTGGCGAAGGAGCGAAGGAACGTACCTGTGTAAAGTTCCTCTTGCTATCATATGGTGTCTGCCGGCCATGCTTCCAAGACATAAACCTGGCAACGGCGGGCCGGTACTGTTGATCAAGTGACTTGCGCTTCCTCGCCATGGTCGATGGAAACAAAAGAGCGAGTAATAAAACAGCGAGTAGAGAGCAATGATGCATAGCTTTCGCCTTTTTCGATATCCAAGTTTATGAGACGGAATTGGGCGAAGAATGAAACTGAATCGATCGGAGGCACTCACCCCAACGGTCAAGTCGTCCTGTAGCTTCCGTACTACGGGATACAGCAGTTGAGCTGAGAGGATCTTGCGCCGTTTACCCTCTCACAGTACTAAGAGGGAGGTTCCGGGACCATAAGTCTTTGAGTTTCGCGGAACGTTTGTGTGTGACTAGGTTGTATTTTTGGCACGAGTGACAAAGATACTTAGGGAAAAAGTTGTATTTTGGGGTTGCCGATGCAACTACCAATGCGATTCTGAGTAGTATTGGATACCCTCAAATGACTGGTTTTCCCCGGCAGAATACTCTCAGTGACCAATGCGTATCCCCATACCCCAATAAATGATACTGTTGGCCGGTCTAGAAATTTAGCGGACCCGGATAAGAAAAAGACCGCACCATCGTAGGATTTTTAGGAAACTGGCATTCTCAGAATCCAGATTTCAGAGCAACCAGCCAGAAAGATCATTCTTTCGCCACAGCTCGCCCAAATCAACAGATTAACTTGATAATAGCTAGTAGTTGCAGTGTTGCCTTACCCAACACTGTGGCGAAAGAAAGGTTTGTATTGAGTTTGTCCATGGTATTGGTATTGTAATAGTGAGAAAGAACTGAGAGAAACACAGCAGGCTCAGGTATTGAGCAGAGGTGCGCTGTAGCCCCACTGTAAAGGCAAAGCAACAGAGCTAACAGTCAAGGAAAAAAATTCGCCTCACATTTTCACTCATTCCAAGCTCACGGAGCATCGGCCGATCCACTTCTAGTCATCAAGAGTCCAAACCAAGCATACCAGTGGAGAGAGTGGATCAAGCCGGTTCAGATTGGTGCTTGAAGCAAGGTCATCGGAGCTATATTCGAGGAGTAACGATCGTTCGAGTGAATCAGGTGCCCATCCACCGAGCAAAAGCCGATCGACTCGAAGCCAACGAACGAGCAAACGAAGCAAGATACACTAAGAAACCCATACAGAGTCTGAAAGAAGCGACAAAGACACTAATGCCACGACAAGTGCAAGCTCTCAGCTCTAAAAATTGATTGAGTTATCGACGATCGAGTTAACAGCGCTCGAGCAGTGGGAATTAACAGGTCCCAGTCTAGCGCCGACAACTGAAACTCAAGGAAGAAGACACTCGAGCCTATGAAACTGCTCCAGTAGTCACATCTAACACTATTGCAACTATCTACATCAACAGGAAGCCTTTGAGTGGTCGATAGCGCCGATTCGCTAGTACCCTCAAGGTCAAACGGTGGAATTTCGTGTGAGCCACAGATAGAGCCACGAAGACACGACACGATAGGAACAAGCCAAGTTTAAGGCAGGAGCAGTCACAGGAGTGACAATATAGACCCACAAGAGGCTACCTGATCAATAGGAAATAAGAGGAACCCCCTCCAGCTCCACCAAGCGTCCCACAACTCCCAAGTACACCGTATCCAGTACAAGTCCACGCAACCAGTAATTCCTCAAACAAGAGCAAGGATGACACGATTCAACAACAGAGGAGGCCGTGGCAACAGAGGAGGAGGCAGAGGCTCCTCCAGCAGAGGCCAAGGCGCCGGTAGAGGCGATGCCAGTGGTGGCGGTAGAGGCAGAGGCCAAAGCAACCGCCGCAAGTACCTGTTCCATCCCAATGGACATGCTGATTCCAGATTTTACCCGTTCCCAGAGACATTGAACCACATTGTGGCTACCTTCAGGACCAGGTCGGAGTGGACTGATGTTCCCAAAGCATCACTGGCCATTGAGACTATGCAAGACCAGACGCCGACAGAGCCAACGGAACCGACCTATACTACGGATGCTGACGGCAAGAAGATATATGACGAGCTCAAGCTAGCTCTCTACAAGAATCAGTTGTCTACCTGGCAAAAGGAGGAAACTGCGTACAAGAATGCCCTACAGAATGGAGCAGCCAGCATCTATCAGTTCTATTGTACCAAACAGATGAAGAGCAAGCTACGAAATCTCCATGACTGGGAGCAGATCAAACTAGACCCGATTAAAGTCCTAGGCAAGATCCGAGGACTGACTGCCGAAGGCACCACCAGAGAGCATCCCGCTGTACAGTTCGTCCGCCAGTTACAGCGTGCCCTTTCCCCCAAGCAAGAGGAAGGAGAACCGACTGATGCCTTTCTCCGTCGCGTGGCAGCCGACTCGACCCAGATCGCTGAAATCGTTGGCACAGGCTACATGGACTGTTTCCTCCTGAAGCAGCCCGAGTACGAGAAGATCAAGGATGACCAAGACAAGGTGAAGGAGTACCTGGATGACGGCCGAAACAAGATCATTGCTCTCATTGGCTACAGAGGACTATTCCCAGGCAGGTATGGCGACTATCAGGCTACCGTGGAGGCGTCCTATGCCATGGACGGCACGAGTAATTATCCCACCAGCCTGGAAGCTCTTCGTGAGACCCTCAATTCCGACAGATTCAAGCCCAGCAAGGAGTGGTATGAGGCCAGACGTGCCCGCGCCAAGGGTTCTGGCCAGCCCAAGACGATTGACCCATCCAAGAAGGAGTTTGGTGTCAATGCCGTTGTCCTCTATCAGCAGAACAAGCGAGGTGAGGCCTGCTACTGCTGCGGCAATCCCACCCACAAGTTGCCGGAATGCAAAGTTTGTGACAAGATCCCCAAGCCCGAGTGGGCCATCAATAAGTTCCAAGGTCTGAAGAAGCAGTTCTTCCAACAGTACCATCAGTTTCGCGAAGCTTCGACGGCTCCGGTCCCCCAGACAGTTACCGTAGCCCAGCTTCCACAACA